CTGAATGCTAAACAATAAAGACTTCATGCAAATGGAAGTAAATTTGCAGGAAAATTACTAAAGATAACTGGTAATCATGATTTGTTTCTCGGTGAAGACTTTCACCAAGCTATAAAAGAAATATTGTTATTTTCTATAATTTCAAATTATGTAAAACATTAGATTTTAAGAGAACAATGGCACTTCAACACTTTTGCTAACTCATTTTCAAGAACAACACACCTTCTTCGATTTTAGTTCTATTCTTAAAACTCACATATTTTTCTTCTTTTCTCTCTTTAGAAAACAATTCTCTCCAGTGGTCTGCTGGATGTGGGAGAAATAGTAGCAAGTTTTCTTAACTTAAGCAATAACTTAGATCCAAAATAATCTGCCTAATAATTCTAATTATTCTGGAAAGAGAAAACAATGGTGATTTTTAATTTTGTTCCACTTGTAATAATGCCTGTGTTACTATTCCAGGTAGAGACAAATTATTTTGAAATACAGAATATCATTGATCACATTCTTTGAGTTTTCTCCCTTTTGGTGCTCAAATTTTAAAATGACTTTCAACTTCAAGTAGGAACATGTAATCTGTCAAGGGATAAACAATGCAAAGTCTATCCAGCTGTACTAGCAAAGGCATAAAATCCACTATTTATCTGAATAAAATAATCACTTTCTTTAGGAATATTATATGCTCAAGTGATACTTTACATAAACAGCAAGTCACCAATTATTATTTTAAATGATTCATACATTTAAATATAAAGTCAGCTTGGGGAAATAGCATTGAGCTAAACATTTTATTTTCAATCTACCTTTTTCAAATATCTCTGATTAATTATGTTTCTTTAAGTATCAGAAATTCATATCATCTGTAATTTCCCATTTATGTTTTTTGGCAAAGTGAGGATACTGTAGTCCAACAGAGAAAGTTAGTGAAGCATTCTGATGACTACAAAGTAGGCAGATTGTAAGGCATGCCCATGATTTTCTTGAGAATTACACATTCAAAAATCAGTTATTTTAATGGTCTGAAACATCCACTTCTTCCTATGTGTCTATCAGAATCTATTTATCCTTGCAATCCCCCAGGTAAAATTAGAATTTTTAGAAATATCATTGGCACAAACACAATTAACTGAAAAATTTCCACACTAAAACAGGGGATTTTTCTCGTAAAGGGATGAATACATCTCTAACGTTTTGGGGGCACATTTCTAAAGAATGCTTCTAGAAATTATCAGAAATGTTTATTTTCTCTCAGATGTTTAAGGAGCATTTTCAATATCTGTCTTGCAAGAATACAAAAACTGTTTATTTAAAATGTTCAAGTGTACCGATATTAATCTTTCTTCAGAATTCCAGCTGAAGAATGGTAACATAATCTCTACTTACTTTGTTCATCACTTTGAGGAGATCTGATCTCTGCCAATTATGTAAAAGTGATTCCTGATCATTACACACTTGCACTTTATTTCCATTGCATCAGTGGTTCTGGAATCTCTGATAACTTCCAGCAATACCCATAACCCAAAAGCTCCAATAACCACTGTCTCTCACCTTAGCTTGCCATATTAAGTGTAATTTCTGAAATTAAATGCTTGATCCTGACTTAGATATCTAACCATAATAGTTTTCTTTATCCATGATATAAAGTCCCACATCATGTGCATTTAGACTTGTGATATAAAATATCCAGAATATGGATGGTCGAGTATTTTTGAGCTAAGGTGAAAATAAAGACAACTTGCCATTCAAAATCCGTGTGTACAAACACATGCATACGTACATACACAGGCACACATGCACACACAGATGAATCTTTAATAAGTTAACAAAAACCGTACTTTGGAAAATATAATACTATTTAAAATAACAAAGTTATACAATCTTTTAAGAAAACTGATAGTAACCTGATTTTATCCACATTTAACAGTAAAAGCACTGTATTTAGGAGAACAGAAATTCCTTAAAAGAAATATGATTTGTCTATGTGTCATATCCAGTGAAATTTCATTGAGGTTTTTCTATGAGTTATAAGATTCCACTAGAGGCAGGAAGTTTACTTACAATCAGAAAGGAATATCAGTTATATAATCACATTTCACACAGCATTCCACTAATTTCTCTTTTTAAACAACCTTGTTATTATCTATTATGATCAGCCCCCTCAATTTACATGCATGGTAAATATACCAAAAATATATAAATATACGATAAAAATAAAGAATAAATATACCAAAAAATTAATGTAGCTGAAGTTTTTTATACAATTAATACCTATTTTCAAATATTTCACAACAATACAAGCAATTTAGGTGCTGTTCATCTCTATTTCCTTCCGGAAGGTAATTTATATCTTAATCACTTCTTCTTAATTTATGTTTTATATGGCATGTAGTGCTCAAATCTGGCCTTCCTGTCTAGCAATGAGCCTTTTAATAATATTTACCACTTAGCTAAATAGTATATTAATGCCTGCTTCGATTTTCCATGCATATTCTAACTGTTGTCATGATCTCAAATGGTAAATAGATATTTTAATTGATGCTTCTTAAGCCTTCTTATAAATATTTGGTAAGAGGCCCTAGTGTCACATCCATCAACACCTACTGGGAACATCTGTCATTTGAACTAAGACAAATTAATTCATTTTAAGAGTAATCATTGTCATTCAGTCTTCATCAATCACAATATCATTAGAATGAAAAATTCTAAGAGGATGCTTTGAGTAAGAGTTTTCCAAATCCACACACTTCAATTTAACATAATCAGAAGTATATTATACATCTTTGTAACACATGCATGTAACAGAACACAGCAAATAGGAATCAGAAAGATACCTGTCACAATTCATAAGCAAGAGAGATCAGATCAGGAAGCTCTTAAGAAGGAATTACACTCTCATTTACAGATCACTTACCACTGAGACTTGAGAGAAGTGTCCACAACATAGTTCACCTAATTATCTGATACTTCTCTGAAGTTTCTTACCACAGAATGTATTAGACTTTACAATCATGGGGAAAACTAAAGTGAGTGTTAGGCTGGATAGAAATATGCCCATGTAACCCAGCTTCATTTCCAGACAGGAAATGAAGTGGTTGTTTTGAATTTTAATAGTTGACTTTTACTTTCTATTCCTGGATTGGGGGTCTCAAGGGAAGACACTACCAGGCTATCATTAACTGGATGATCTTACCTCCTTCTCAATTATTCCACTAACCTCAGGGAGGAGGCCCAAATCAAGGTTGTCCCCTCTATACAGATGTATATGTTAAATTGTAGGTCATTAAAATTTTGACCTTCACACAAACCATAAAATATGTTCAAGAAAATTTTTTTTAATTTAATATACATTATTGACATGTTCCTTACCCACAAGTGCATTTGTAATAAAAATAAAATAAGAGGAAATGAAAAACTAAGCAATAAAATTTAACAGCAACTCTTTTCAATAAAGGTCAGTCATTAGGCTTTTAAAAATAACATGAAAATCTACAAAATCTTAATCTAAAAAACGACTTTTGCTACCATTTAGCAACATCATCACATGGGTACATGGACTTAAGTCTCCCCTCTTTAGACACAGTTGCTCTTGGACTAGGATACAGTGGTGAGAAGCTGAGTAATACAACCCAAATTGAATGTCCTCAAAGGCACTGAATCAGCAGAAATAAATGTGGCAGTCCTGCTTGGGTGTGAACTTTCACTTAGAAGGTGATGAGTTAAGTCTCTAAGTAGATCCATTTTAGTCCCATCTGAGAGAAAGTATTTGCCCTCACAAAACCTGTAAATGGCTCTGAGGTCTTCCTTACACAGTACATAATTTTTCCCACTCTGCCTTTACTGATGACCACGTCCTTTTTACCTTGCTCTCCTACATCATGAAAAATCTCAAATATAGATAAATCTATCTATATTTCACGTTCTCCAGCTCTTTTGCCAGTGTGAGCCTACTGTTATGCATCCTTCAAAAAGAATAGATTCTTCTGGATGGAAAATAGCAAATAAGCAGAAAGACCCTAAATGACAGGTTTACAAGGAACTAAAATGTCAAATACTAAAAACACTCAACTGAAAATTAAAAGAGCAAGGAAAGAAGGGGCAAACACCATGTATTAAATACAGAAGAAAAATGTTTCTACAGAAAGAGAAGCCACAGATAGGGAGGAGGGTTACATTTATTTTCTCATTTTATAAGACAAAGTATCTTCACTTTTGCCCCCAAATTATATAAATCTCACCAAAAATAAAATTACCTTTTGGGCAACAAGAAAATATTGATTTACTGAATTAAATATCCCACCATCCCCCTACACCCAACAACCTGAGTCACAAAGTAAAATAGAGCATTTACACATTTAGCCTGGAAAGAATTTTAATCAAGGTGAAGTTAAGCCTGTACATTAGAATTAGAAAATAATATGCATCACATAAACGATATGGTATTATGTTTGATACTATTAAAAGTTTCCCTTCCTTATAAAGCATCTGGGATAATAATTAAAGGAAGTTTTAGAATCAGTAGTCTTACCAGGGCAACTTCATACCATCTAAAATTGCACACACGCCTGGTAGCATTTGCCAATTTTCTTGGATAGGAGAGTGAAGAATCCCAGATGACATAAAATGTTTCTGTTGCTAGAATTATGCTAATTTCTCAATCAATCATTTTAAATATTGCATGTAACGTTTGCTTAAAAAAGTTTTTTCTGCCCTGTCTAGAGGGCCCTACTGCTATAAAAATCTATTTTAACAGAAACAACACTTGCCTAACCAGAGACCTGGTACTTTCTTCAGTTTCAGAGGAGCAGCACAAATAATACATTTACATAAATATGTATAAAATGTGGTTTGGCCAGAGTAAATAAGATGTATGTTATCATAAATCCTCTCAACCCATCCCCGTTGTCATTAACATCCTCAGCATCAGTCAACATCAACAAAAGCACCGCAACACTGTAACCATTTTCTCTTCTTCCCCCTCCCTCTCCCTTAGACTTTCTTACCTCTCTCCCTCCTTGTACTGACTCTGGTCTTTTCAGGTTCAAACCCTGAAAGAAAAAAAAAAAAAGAAAAAAAGGAAATATATATATATATCTCAAAATAGATTATGGATGGCAAAGAAGAAGTAACTAATAATTAGTACTAGTGCAAAGATTTTGAAGTGAAAAAGAATTCATTTAACAGAGAAGATCTGAATGTACATGAATATCTCACACATATGACAATATATCTGAGTAAGTCTCCAAAGGTGGTACCAATGCACTTCTTGCTAAATCCCAGGACCATAAGTAAAAATAATTGCAGCATTGGTGATTACATAGGAAATATTCAGGATTTTTTCTCGTGAAAAGGACTTTCTTCATCTTCTATTATCATAACTGCTTTCTACACTAAAAGGAGAGCGATTCACCTTAAGTCCCCAGTAAACACTATGCATAATTAAATGGTAAAAGAGTTCATCTTTTTCTTAGCAGGCCTATTGCAAAATATGCTTGTGGCACAGGAGTCTGTCTGTCCATCTATCTATCTTCCCTGGAAATACTGCTATTGAGAAAGCAAAATAATGGGAAAAAAATTTTGCCCCCCTCTAAACATGATAAAAGTTTCAATTCCTGTTATTTTCCATACTGTAGTAGTTTTATATGTGGAAGGAACTATATGAAAATTGCAATAAAATGTGATCTCACAGTACCCAATTCTTCCTTTTTACCTTCCTTCATTTTTGTTACCTTTTATTCTCTTTCCCTCTATCTCTTATCATGTCCTTTAATTACTTTACAATACATATTTATTGTATATGTACCGTGGGCCAGACACCATGCTAGATATTGGGGATATAAGTAATAAATAGTCCTCAAAGTTTAGGAGATCATTGACTAGACACACAAAAGTGAAGGTAAAACTTCAGGAGAATGATGTCAGGTATACAAAATTTTCTCTGAGCCTAAGATGAAAGAGGCTCATTCAGCCTTTGAATGGGCAAACACACAAAGGACCACAGAGGAGGAGCACATCTAAACAGTGGTAAAGGCTGAAGAGGAAATGCAGAAGATGAACAACATGCAGCAGTCTGAACACCTGACTACTCAATGTATGGTGACTGGACTTGTAGCATACCATCACCTGGGAACTCACTTCTAATGCTGACTCCACCCAAGACCAGCTGAGCAAGAATATGTATTTTAACAAAATTTCCAGGTGATGAACATGCACGTTAGAGTTTGAGAAGCACTGCACTAAGAGGTCTAGGAAAGGCAAGTGGTTTAGTTGGCATATGCTGTGAGTTGTGCAAAAAGGAGCAGTGGGGAAATAAGGCCCAAGAGTTGACCAAATTGTGAAGTCTTTCAACAGCAGGAGTTTCGGGCTTCCCTGGTGGCACAGTGGTTGAGAGTCCACCTGCCGATGCAGGGGACGTGGGTTCGTGCCCCAGTCCGGGAGGATCCCACATGCTGCGAGGCGGCTGGGCCCGTGAGCCATGGCAGCTGAGCCTGCGCCTCCGGAGCCTGTACTCCGCAACGGGAGAGGCCACAAAAGTGAGAGGCCCATGTACCGAGAAAAAAAAAAAAAAAAAAAAGAGTAGGAGTTTCGACTCTTCTTTAAGCAAATGCTTACTTCGATAGCAGTCTTTGAAAACGGGAGCGTATAACATATCAAGGACAGACATATATGAGAATTTACATATTCTCATAATTTAGTCTTGAACCTACATCTTATTTTCTATTTTTCCTAGAAACACTATCAGAAGAAAAATGGAAAGAATACAAATAAATATTGGGATTTATCTTTACCATATTTTTTTTATCTGCCTCTAAATTACGTGACAGAGATTTAGAAACCTTAACAATTTTTCACATTATTATGAATAATTTTGACTTAAGTTAAAGTATTTTTCTATTTCTGATGAAAATCTAAATAGCACATAACCTTAAGTATATACTCTACATTATCTCGATACATCGGGTAAGAAATTGACCTGTAAGACATATATACTAGACTTTATTGTATTTTTAGCTTTATATTTTGGAATTTAAGAAAAGATTGTAACTGGTTTTTGTTGTCACATTAAGCTGCAGATTTAGACTGTAATATAAGGAAAATATTCATAAGATAAAGTTTTTTTCATTTGGTGACAGCATTTATGCTTAAAAAGGCAGAAGATTATTAAGATCTGAAGAGAAACCAGAGTGTTAATGCTTAAAAGGTTTTCAAGTGGTTTTTAAATTTTTACCTCCTATATAAAACATTTCTTGAATTGTTTAGATGGAAACATATGAACAAAAATATTAACTGAGTCCACTTTGTCTTTTTTTTTAATTTTTATTTCATATTGGAGTGTAGTTGATTAACAATGTTGCATTAGTTTTGGGTGTACAGCAAAAGTGATTCAGTTATTCATATGCATATATCCATTCTTTTTAAAATTCTTTTCCCATTTAGGTTATTACAGAATATTGAGCAGAGTTCCCTGGGCTATACAGTAGGTCCTTGTTGGTTGTCTATTTTAAATATAGCAGGGTGTACATGTCGATCCCAAACTCCCAGTCTATCCCTCCCTGCCACTGTCTCCCCCTGGCAACAATACGTTCAGTCCACTTTGCTTTAAAAAATAGACTATTACTCTACTGACTCTAGAAAAGTCTCTAGAATCAACCTGGCAAACAGTTATTCTTGTAAATAAATGGCAGCCTGATTTCTGAGTTTAGAAAATTATCTACATTTACAGGATACATCTTGAAGAGTCTAAATTTCACATGAAATAAGATATAAAACAAAATCTTAGAACATTTCTTAAACCTGGCAGTGTAGGCTAAAAAATTCTACAGTGGCATTCATGCTCATAACTTTTAGGATTTGGGAAACTGTAATGATGTGCTTCCGAATTTAGACAAATGTGGGCTTAAATCTTCAGTTTGTAACCTTCTTTTGTGTTCTAACAAATTACATAACATTTCTCAACCTCATCATTTTTTTAGTTGAAAACTAATAATAAATATAGTAACTATATCATGTGGTTGCTATGAAGATTAAATTAGATAATATGTGTATAGCACTTAGCAAAGGGTCAGACACAGCACATCCCCAAACAGTAATTGTTATCGCCTCTTCGTATTCTAATTTTTATTATCATTATTATACTTATATAGCACACCTATATATAAATTTGAGCAAATATCCTGATATTGTGCCTTTCATTTGAAGGATGCAAACTGTCATGCTTTGCTTTAACTCCTTGACATATTTATACTTGTAATGGTGTTTTGAACTTCTTGTCTGTTAATTCTATCATCTGTCATTTCCAGGTCTGTTTTTATTGACTGAATTATTTCCTGGTTACGAGTCACATTTTCCTATGTTTTCTTATGTCCAGTAATGTTTTCATTCATTGCCAGATACTGTGATTTTTACTCTGTGTAGTGCTAGATTTTGTTTATTCCCTTAGAAGGGGTTAGGATTGTTTCTGGCAGATGGTTAAGTTACTTGTGGGTCAGACTAACCCCTCTGAGGCTTGCTTTAAAAACATTTGTAGGATGAGACTGAAGTAGTCTTTAGAGTTATCTCTGTTACTAAAGCTTGACCCTTTTGTGCTCTCTACGGAACATTCCAAGTATTCAATGAGGGTTCACTACTCTGGCTGATGGGAATTCGAAAGACTCCCAGACCTGTGAAAGCTCTGGGAATTCTACTTAAAGTTCTCTTGTAATTATTCTTTTCCAGCACTTATTCTTTGCCTAGCCTTATCAAATTTCACTCTACATATGTGAAGACTGTTATTGAAATAAAATTCTCAGAGTAACACCTATGCAGATTTCTGGAGTTCTTCTCTGTATGTTTCCCTCCTTTCTGGTAATCAGTCTTACAAACGAAGCTGCCTTGTTCTCTCCAAACTCAGATCTTTGTCTCCTCAACTACAAAATTTAAAGACCCTGTAGTTCTGACTGGGCTGTCCCTCCATGTACCATGGTGCAAAAACTGCCTCCAGGCAGAAATCTGGGTATTGCCAAGACTCTCTCTGTTTTCATTTTCACAGGTATTATAGCGCTTCCCTGTCTGTTTTTTAATGTGTGAGTTGTTTTATATGTTTTGCCTAGTCTTCTAACTATTGAATATTACAGTAGGAGGGTAAGTCTTATAACTAGTATTCTTTCATGAACAGAAGCAGAACTCAAGGTAAATATTTTAAACTTATTTTTTTCAAAGGAGAAAGTTGAAGCTTACAAAATTTAAATTATGTGGTCTGAGTACCAGAGCTAGTGAGTACAAAAGCAAAATTTAAACCAATATATTAAGAGCCTAGATACCAAGTTCATTTATTCATTCCTTGGTCAAGTTTCTTAAGTTCACACCAGTCAAAATCTTTAATGTCTTACATACTTATGAACACAAATTTATCATAACATGCAACTCATGCCTGAGTCATGATGATTCTTCAAGGCAACACAGTGATTAAGAGGAGAACTTTAAGAAGAAACATACCTATGTGGATGGAATAGGAGCTAGACAGTCAGCATGCCAGCATAGATATGATATACTTTATAAACTTGGTCATAATTTAGGAACCAAATTATTGAAACACCAATCTTGAGGTTGAAGAACTTAGTCAGAGAATCTGACGGCAAGAATTTGGGACCCATATGGGCAGAGGATAATGAGCTAAGAGGATTTCCATATGCTAAAAGGGCTTCAGGCAAGAAGGTGTTTCAATGGAGAAGTCAAATCGTTTACTGTATAATAAGATTCACTAAGAATTCTTGAGGTATAAAGCCCTAACCAATGGCAGGAATTAGTACGAATCCTAGAGTAACATTAAACCTTCAAGTTGGAAGTTCAGGTGGCTTGAGTGGGGAAAGCTGTTAAGGGTGAAATGTCAACTTAACTTCCAGCTTCTGCTAGGAAAACTACAGCAATCTTGAGTTTTGCTGTCTCTTATTGATAGTAAATTGGTCAATTTACTTGGAAAGATCAAATCGTATTACCATCCTAATTAAACAAGCAATAACATTTACGACAGAAATTTTTCAAAAGAAATATTAATCTCAAGGAAACAAAG